TCGAAATGTTTTATTGGTAAGGCCAACTCTATTTTGATTACGTCACTTTTCAACTTCTAGCGAAGAAAAATATTGTAAAAATATGTCCTAAACTGTACAAAACAAGAGGATTATTTTTTGGTTTTAATACAGTATGTTACGGAACAGACCTAACCAAATCTAACCTGGACAGCAGTTCTTTTAAATAGTTCCAAAAACCACAAGTTTATATTACCATTTACCGATACACAACACAATCTTTAACGCTTAAACAACCATTGTTCCATAATGACCCTCTTGATTTTGAGGTATGCAGCTTTATATCCTGTACTCATATAAAATTTTGTCTTGTTTTCCCAGTCGGGGATGATCCAAATAATAAAATAGTTCAATGGCTAAAAAAACATGAAACATATACTTAATTTTCATTTTGTTCTCAAATATTTTGATCTGAACATAAGCGAAACACCCCCCGAACAACACTAAGCATGTTTTTCCATTACAGTAGAAGTATATTCACAAAGAGTGACAAATATGAATAATATAAATTTTGGACGGGGTTTACATAAGGAGCGAGACGAAAAGTACAGAAAGAAACTTTCCTAGTGTTAGCATTATCTAGAGGATTTCCACGGGTAACTATTGCTAGAACCTGCTATACAGGCTTTGCTTTTGTTCGTTGGAAGTTCCATGTGAAAGAATTCAAGACAGTGGAATATATCTATTTTCGTCGTGTGAAAACAGATAACCCAATAGAAGCGGTGATAAGTGAACGCCAGCACGAGTAATTGCGGTAATCACCTACAGCACAGATCAGTCGGGGTGGACAGAAAATAGAAAGACCTGTTTGCTAATCATCTCTGTATATCTCTAGCATACCTATGATATCTGTAGTAACGTACCATCTCTGTACCTCTAAAGCATACCATACATTACTATGTACATCCAGTTAACCATCATCTCTAGAGCATGTCCATCATCTCTGTATATAAACTACATCTGCTTCATCTCTATCGTGTACATGAGTCTTCTGTATCTCTTTAGCATACGTTACAATCATATGACATCTAGTAAACCGTCATCTCTATACCCTGCTTATATCTATGTATATTAACTACATCTCGTTCATTTCTATCGTATACGTGAGTCCTTTGTATAATTCTACAGCATACCTTACATTCATATGTACATCACGCTAACCATCATCTCTATATCATGTCTGACATCTCTGTTTATCATTTACATCTCATTCATTTCTATCGTGTAAGTGAGTCATATGTGTCTCTATAGCGTACCTTACATTCCTATGTACATCTAGCTAACCATCATCTTTATATCATGTCTAACATCTCTGTATCATAACTACAACTCATTCATTTCTATCTTGTATTTGAGTCCCCTGTGTCTCTATAGTTTTCCTTACATTCCTTTGTACATCTAGTTAACCATCATCTCTATATCATGTCAAACATCTCTGTATATTAACTACATCTCATTCATTTCTATCGTATACGTTAGTCCTTTGTATCTCTATAGCATACCTAACAATCCTATGTACATCTAGTAAACATCATCTCTATATCATGTCAAACATCTCTGTATATTAACTACATCTCCATCATTTCTATCATTTACGTGAGTCCTTTTGTATCTCTTTAGCATACCTTACATTCCTATGTACAGCAAGCTAAGCATCATCTCTATATCGTGTCTAACATCTCTGTATATTAACTACATCTCCTTCGTCTATATCGTGTACGTGAGTCCCATGTGTCTCTATAGACTCCCTAGCATATCTTTATAGTAATACATGTACCAATATATCTGTATCTCTACAGCTATATGACATACTCTTAATATTTATTACCTCTCTGTATGTTTACATTCGCTGTTTAAGTTGTAGTGTCATTTCAGCTGCTAATGTAATAAGTTCCCAGGTGGAGTTCTCACATTTTCTGTATCTTTATAACCTCTACATATTATCTCTGTATCTTTATAAGCTACATATTATCTCTGTATCTCCAAATTGACTCCAACATAATTTACATCTTTATATAACAACACGCTTAACATATTTTTTCTCTACACAACACAAGACATCTCTGAATTTTCATGACATCGATTTGGAGCTAGAATTTTGTCTCTGTCCCATACCTCACCTAACATATTTTATAATCAGCTATCTCTCCATTCTCGTAGCCTAGGCAAACATGAGCTGTTACATGGAAAACAACAACCTAGGAAAACTGAATGTAAACAAAGACAAAAATAAATCTGTCGGTCACGACAAAGGGTTAATTTATGAACTAGTGATACCAGCCAAAACTAGCTCTGCATAATTGTTTGTTTACATTTTCATTGGACCACAAGTTTATTTGAAACTGATGAAACAACAAGTCTGACACTAGTTGATGTCTGTCTAATAGCATAACATCAGATATATGAATACTAATACAGAAATCTTAATGTTAGCCAAAGGCTCGTGCCCCTGTAACCCATTTGGTTATTGCAGACAGTCACATCGGTTAGAGGAAGATCAGCCGCCTCACATAGCTGTGATTCTTCTCTTTAAAAAATGGATGTGGCAGGGAAAGTTTAATGTACGACGCGCCGGTCAATTCAAACGTATTCCACTTTATCGTAAAACGCACAGCTCCTAACTAATTCATAGTAGTGTAATTGAGGTATATTGAAATACATATTGAAATACATTTCAATATACCTCAATTACACTGCTATGAATTAGTTATGATAATTGAAAGTCTCTTCGATGTACAAATAAAAGAAATCAGCGATTCGGTTTTTCTATAAACATCGATGTTATGTGAACCTGATCAGATGAGAAAAAAAATCACATTAACATAAATTTCCAAACTGGATTTAAACACAATTCAATCAAAAATATCAAGTTGACAACACTTTAACGTGGTTATAGACTGATACGGAAATATATTTGCCCCCTTAATCATTTAAATCTTTCTGCCCACATATACTAATGACAATAAAATGTAATACAAAACCTGTATGCAATGGGATTTAGTTAAATTGCATATTTGATGAAAATCTCGTGATTGATATTATTTGATATTTCTCAGGAAACTCCTGGTTTTAACTTTGGAATCCGTATTGAAAGCTGACTAAGCTTTTAACGTCCGTGGTGAAATGTCGAAAGCCTTGTTAGCTTAGCGAATTGTTAAGTTCAATTGTAACGATAGTTCTTGCTTAATTGTGGAACAGGTACAACATCATGTGAGTTCTTTAGCTACGAAACGATTAATGTAAATCCCTATATCTGTAATTTTTATAAAATGTTTAATATATTTTCAGAACAAATGGGTTTTTTTTAGTTGTTGTTAAACAAAACACGCTTTCACAAAATGGACCATGGTCCCAAGTCCACGTTTCTAGGTCAAATAATTTCAAGCAAAGACTCCCTCAGAATGTAATGTCCAATTATGATCACATCCGCATTCTGAGTTTACAGACGTCTTGTAAGATTAATACTTAATCATCTCCGTATGAAAATTCACGGAAGGCTTGACTAGATACCTCTGTGATATTAAACTTTACGTCTTGTGTAGTTCAAACAATTGCATATCTGAGAATTCGGCCAATAGTTTTAGTATAAACATAAAAGATTTTACAAAATTATCAAATATATAAATGTATTCATTGTTTTTTGGCAAACTCTATAAAAGTTCCTTGAGATCATTAAAAAAAATGTTTTGAAATTACAAATCCCATCACCGGCAGCAGAGTGGATATATCCCTGTCTTAAATCAAGTGTTTGGGGATCGAATTCCCAAGCCGGAGTTGTTTCATGTCAAAGGAAATTAAATAAATATGACTTTCGTATATAACGCTTCGCTAGAATAAATGTAACTCCAAGTCAGAAAATTTCTTACGAATTGGAAAACTCCTGCGTGAGAGATACAAAATAGAGCATAGGGACTCTTATTACAGCAAATAGGTATACATTAGACAAATGTACATAACATGTCATTTCATCAAACGACTAACGATGTGAACGTTTTAAAGTCCTCATTAATATTCATATCTGAATATTTTTAAGCAAAGCATTTCATGTTTGTTTATCATAAATTAAATAAATCAATAACTCTTTTTTTATCAGCGCGCATTTTCTTCATGGAAAACAAAGCATCGACTACAAATCTTGATACGTGAGCTATAAATGAGTGTGCATGTGATATCTGTTTGGCATTTGATTCAGCAAATGGAAGCTTTCCAATGCGTTAAGCATATCACAACACCGTTTAATCCCAATTTGGACGTAAACACAGGTCACGCCCATATAGTTATAGTGCAGACACACATTTCGTTTATATATAAAAGCCACGTGAGGGTTATACCTATCAACTGTTATCTGTCGTATAAAGACAACGTTTAGTGCAAAAATGTAATAGTTTGTGTTTATATAGAAATTAACTTGTGCTGATACTTCAATATTCTAGTGGGATGTTTTCAATGCTAGATGTATTTGGATGATGGTGCATATTTTTATTGAATCAAATCAACCTGATTGGTATCAATTTCCCTAAAAATGAAACTAGTATAGCCTAGTTAGATTATAACATTGTTTTCAGTAAGTAAACATTAATCATATGTATCCATATATGTATTATCTAGTCAACATTAGGAATCCAAAATCCGGAAAACCTGCTATCCTCACAGTACATTTTCAGAATCTGATTTCTTACGTTAAAAATTAAAAATGTTGTCTTCTAATAGAGTTTAACAGCATCATCCAGTTTCTGCTATATATATACCAAAGCCTGTTTCCGCTGTATTTATATAAACAACCTGTTTCCGATAAAAACCCGTTTCTGTTATATCGTTACGACAATCCGTTTCTGCTGTATCTATATGATAACCCCTTTCTCCTGTATTTGTTTAACAAAACCCGTTTCTATTGTATACAATGTATATATATATATTACAACCCGTTTCCGCCGTGTTTACATACCAACCCTTTTCCGCTGTATTAAGGTAACAAAACTTACCACTAATCCACGCGATCCTGTATCACCCATCGGGCCACGATCTCCCATAGGTCCCTGAATTATAAGAGTGTTTTTTAAGATTCGTTCAACACTGAAAACAAGATATTGGTTTGTTTCAATTTCATCAAATTTATTTTTTCGCATAAAATTTCGAATAAAATGAACAACATTAGCAGTAGACTATGCAATACATTTGTACATTGTAATACCTAAGAACAAATGATAATACTAACTTAATATAGTGATTAGTTTAAATTCGAATCTTTGATCCATAACTGTCAAAATTCGGTTTCTTTCCAGAAAATTGTAAATCGTGTTTCTGATCTTTATTAGTCAATATTTAAGAAAAATAACGTACCATTTCTCCTTGTTCACCGGAAACTCCTGGTAACCCTGGGGTACCCTGTAGGGAATACATAAAACATAAAAAAAATCTATTCTTGATTGTCAATGGAAATATATCAACTTGGTTTATATATAAGGCATAAATCAAGTATTATGTAATATTCACCCAAAATCATCATTTGAACAGCGCTAGCTGTTATTAGCCAAACTCTCGTTTCCCTTTTGCTTTAATTCTACATGCTTGGAACGTTTGACCTTAGTGTCACTTCTGAGTCCTGACGCAATGGCCATACGTGTAGGTAAACAGTTCTTTCTGTTTGGCTTTCCGTATCGAACTACCAGGTTTTCAAATAGGTGTTTTCTTACTTCGTATTTCTATTGATTATTTTGCATACAATAAAGTAAAACGTTTAGAGCATCAGCGAAAAGAATATTTAAAATTGTAGTACATAAAAACACAATATTGTAAAACCATATTGACATGTATTTGATAACGGTAGCGCAACATCGATAACATATTTTAAACCTTTGTATACATTTACAATTCATTTTATATATCTTTACGTTGAAGCAAAATGAAATTGTTCAGAGCTATGAGCTTGTTTCTTTTGTAGTGTGGTTTACAATGCTCGGGAAGTTCTATGAATTTATCTAGACAGGTAATATGAGTCTATATAACCTGCTAATAATAAACTCGTGCAATAGACGAAGCAATCCCGATGGTAAACTTACAGGTTCACCGTCACTGCCTGGTGGTCCTGGTGGTCCCTGATTTCCTGACAATCCCTGAAAGTCACAGAAAACTTGCATTTATCGTAAGATATAAAAACACGATATGTGACGTCAAATTGGGACCGGGAAGCTTACATGAAATATATTTAATTGAACAAATTTTGTGTCTATTACATATGGTACAATGTATAAACTGTGGCAAATACAGGCGACTATATCATGCTCGGTTACAATTAAACAACTCCGTGAATTTCATTATAGCTCACCTTCTGCATCATTTAATGACATCTTTGAGCTTTCGTTATATAAATCAGAAGCGTTCATTTTCATTAACTTAATATTTTGAACATATTACTTGACCTGGAGGATGTTAAAGGGTGGCCTATATTTAAGATTTTATTGATTTAAGGTCTGTTATTAATTGACCGAGGTATTACAAATCAGTAAGCGCTCCTACCTCTTCTCCTTTGGTTCCGGGTGAGCCACGTGGTCCAGGATTGCCGGGAGGACCCTGTAATTCAGTTTATTGATATAAGACATTGCGTGTAAAACATATAACTACTAGCGTTGTAACTGTCTGACGAACTAGACATCATATTCAGCTGTGCCCTATCTATTAACTTCATTTCAAAACCGAATTAAACTAACTTATATCTTAAATATATATTATCAACCACATGGGGTGACTTGACCTTAAGCTGCTACACTTTTTGCACTACTTCTTAATGATTCAATATCTTTTTATCTACAACTACTTGTAAGGAATATTTTGTATATAGGTAAAATAAGAACGACTTACCATTTCCAGAAGAAAACTTAGTAAATGCCTAAGATATTTAGTCCCACCACAACTTAGGAAATCTCGGGATAGGCTAAGACACAAGACATCACACAAAATATTAACATGATTCAGAAACTACGAACGCAATTACGCTACGTCAAGAAACGATAGTCCTTAAATTACACAAGTTATTTTTTATAATTTTTCACTTCAAATATGCCTCTGGAATAAATATAACTAGTTTAATATGAGATAACTTAATTTGCTTTCAAAACCAATATTTGTTTTGCAATATGACCTTTTGATTAAATCAATATTAAAAGCGAATTCAATAATGGAAATGTATAAAATAAGCCCAATTTACAGTCAATTATCATGCATGATGTGTATTTAACAGCATTGTGCTATTATTTGTAATTGATTGAAAGTCTGTTGTATTTTGGAAATAACATAATCGCATGATGTTGAATGTATTTAAGGACTATCGAATTTGCTTAATGCGCTATTCTCAAACGTTCGCTTGTTAACTCTGCAATTTAAATAAGAAAAAGTACTACTCCAATACAATCTTATGCTGATTTATGATTACGCAAATGTACCTTAAAAATAGCGCATTATTTTACGATTACATAAAACAATGATGATTTGCGCGCATCGTTTTAGTATTGAGGATGTTGAAAAAAACAACAGAAAAACTAACATGATCCGACCACTTCAGACAAAGACGTGCTCAAAACTGTTCATACATATCACAAAAACACAACTGTCGACGGAAAATAAATTAAAAAACGAAACAGAAAAACTGATGTGATAAAATATGCATAAGTTATTGTTTTCTTAATGATCGTTTTCGCCTTTTTTAAAGTGAAATACTGTGAGTTAATTCAAGTAGGAGTTACTGCCCTTCTCCTCTATATTCCGTCTTTCTTGAAAAAATATTTTTTCTACTTTGATTTTTTTCTTTTTACTTTTACTTTTTAATGTAACAATGTACATATACAAAAAAAGAAAAGAAAAAGAAAAACATCTTATACCTGCAATGCGCTCTTACTATTGATTTTGTGTTTGCTTGCTGTCCGCATATATGCCAAATAAATTCTACGAACTAATATCACTTAAACAATGAAGCATACACATTTTACTTCGACATTTAATACTATTTCTATATCGTTTCGTATCATGCATAAAAGAGAAAAGGAGTAGTACTAGAAAGAGTTTCTTCATGTCTTTCCATACCGGGTCCTCTCTTCCACGAGCGAACATTGAACTTTCACCTGGGGGGCCAGCAGGTCCCTGGAAACATACAAAAACTGTGGTAAAGGCATAACAAATGTTGGCAATGGGTCAGGATTTTTTTAGGAATATAGTGATATCGTTTATAAGGATACCTTTCGCTCTTTTAGCTTATAAACGAATAGCAGTTTTAATTCTGTCGTTACAAAAGACTGCAATTAAATAGCTGTTAAAATATCAAAATTTCAACACACTGTGAAAACAAAATCTTGATTTAGTACAATGCTACAGTGTTTTCTAAAAATGTGCTTAAAATTTAATTAATAATCATGATTATGTACTAAATGGCAAATCCATTTCAATTACAGATACGCCTCTGCATTACATTTCTCTGTTGTATATAGTTCTTAGTAGTAGCGATCGGAATTATTACCCTTTCGCCGAGACCTCCCTTTTCTCCTCGTTCACCCTGCAGACCCGGTAGACCCTATCAAATCAAATTAAATATCATCAAAAGTTATTGACATATTATTATTTTAAGATTTAAAATGATTTTCTAATCTAAAGTTTTAAAATGTTGCTAGGGTTTTGGCCTGGACATATATTTATTAATGACACGAAACTTATAACTGAGAATTATTTTATAAAAACACTTATTCGATTTTAATAATGATTTAATCTTTTTTCCTGAAACCAAAATAATACATTAAAAGGTATAAAACCTTGATTTCACCATCTTGATATTTCAACAGGAAGGTATATGGTCAGTGGAATAGTTTATGTCTGGGGTTTTTTTGCGTTTTAAGCATATTGTAGCAAAATTGTTTGAGAAACTAATACTAGTATAAAATCATCGATGTATGTTGACATACCATGAGTCCTTGCTCGCCATCAGAACCGTCATTTCCTCTATCTCCTTTAGGTCCCTGCAATTTTGATTGTGATAAAAAAAATCTAATACTTAATTTACTGTAAAATGTGAGGTTATCTCTATACTCTGTATATTTATTAATGCATTCCATGTGTAAAGTGATACAACTGCTAATAACAAATATGCTGAAAATCCACATCGAAATGTAAATGAAGTTCCTTCGTTTGGCAGGAACACTTTACCATTGTCACGAAAATTTTATAATATAATTAAACATACATGTAAGGCGATGTTGAACTGTTCCAGCCAAGTAAGTTTTATAATACAGAATAGAACATATTGCATATCATTTGAATAGAATCTAGAATTTTGAGCATTGTGGTAGGTTAGGAATGACTTACCGTTTCGCCAGGTCGTCCCTGCATTCCAATCACCCCTGGTTCTCCTGACACCCCCTAAAATGTAAATGACAATACCACTAATGCTATACTAATCCTTATATTAGAAAGTCTTGTTTTATATAATTCATTTACAGTTGTAGATATTTGTAATGTAGGGGGAAATCACATTTTGCTGTCTTTAAAGAGCAGAAACGTTTATATATACGTGAGTTATGTCTTGTCTATATCTCATTAAGACGTATTTCAAAGTTTAAAACATGAACTATACTTTCATTTGTTTAAATATTTAAAATCATTACCATAATGCCGTCGACACCTGGTAAACCCATAGGGCCCTCATCGCCTTTGTCACCCTAAACAAGAACAATAACATTTAAATATATAAACCAGTACACTTAATCAATAAATGTTGCAATTATTGTAATACGTCAATATAATTAGAGTTTCGAGTAAAAACTCCTTAAGACCATTACAAAAATAAATAAATTTTATAAAAAGGCCCTTTATCACTGAGGGACACCTGATAACGCCTTCTATTGAGAATATATTAAACTGTAATCGTAACAAATAGAAAAATAATTGCATCAAGAAAGCAATAAATTTTACCTTGAATCCTCTCTTCCCTTCGTCTCCTTGTCCTCCTTTGTTACCCTAAAATATAGAATTTTAATTACCCATATAATTCTTAAGTTTCATTGACAATATTGATATCTTAATTGACTTAATTAACCAAATGTCAAATTTTGTTAATAAAATATTAACACATTTGGCCTTCTTGTAAGTACTCATTTTGTTTACGTGTTAAATTTTTCACCTACAAAACCACAAGAAGACATATGCTTTATTAGAATGCGATTGTTGTTTATTTCATTTATTTTACGTGTTCCTAATATTGGAAATAAACATGTAATATTACTTAAATTTGAATGATTCTTCTGAAGTGATACCAATTATTTACAATGGTAATCATGATTTTACAAAAATTTAAACAATTGATTTTGAGTTTTGAATTTTGGCTTCCAGTGAATTTCGTCTATCAGCATGGTTCTTTCGGTGAATAACAACGAAATGCCAATTTCACTCACCTTTGGCCCAACGTCACCCTGGACTCCTTGAGGTCCCATAGGTCCAGCGGGGCCCTACGAAGATACATATAATATTGAAAAACTGTGCAAGGTACAGATTATTGTATAAGTTTAATCAATATGAAAGAATGAAAGAAACATTAATTGAAATATATGATCTCGATAACTTTGTAATTTTAAATATATTATCTTATTTCTGAAATCAATACATACTATTATTGTTAGTTGAATAGAAGTCATTCTATGACTAGTATGTTTAGTGTGTGCTTTTATGTTTTTCAATTGCAACAACAATATGGTCTTTTGCAAGAACACTAAATAGTAATTTTTATATCGACACTGTTACCTAGGTAGTGACAATTGTATTTCATATACAAAATATGCTATTTACTATGTAAATGAAGACGTTTAAAACCATAAATGACAATAATACACCCATTTCTATAGAAGATCGCTATATTTACCTCCACCGGAATGTGGTTAGATATATCTGCTTCAAGAACTTGACTCTGTGTAAAATAAAATAAAAAGGAAATCGTTTTGGTGATTACTGTAACGTGTAAAATTCTCTTTGTGGATGATACACACCAATCAGAACCTTCATACTTAGTAGTGACATTTTGTCAGAATAAATCACAATGGGGATTCACGTTACTGTCTGCATACATGTCAAATGAAGACAAGCATACTGACAAAATCATACGGTTCGTGTATCTTTACACACTGATCCTATATAGTAAATCATAGAATCGACCATGTCATATTGCCGGGTGTCAACAAGATCACATTCACTGATAAAATTGAATCTCTTCTTTATCTTGTCTCTAGTTTTTAGAAGGAGGATTAGATTATACGGTTGCATAACGAGACAAATTCACATTTGCGCTATCTACCGACTGAGTGAATGCTTTCTAATTGCTTGTGAGGTATGGAATCATTCGCTGACAATCTACGACATCGGTATCGCGTCCATCTTGAGATCACGTCACTGATTTTGAACTAACGTTGTATGTGTAACACTGGTTTGTGGTGTCCCACACATATGAGTTTCAATAGCCTTCGACCCACTGAGTCATATTTTCGTCATATTTTAACAAGTTAAAATTGCTATTTCAACGTTTCAGTTGCCCTTAGAAAAATATTTTTTTTTATTATGTATTGTTATTCAGTATACAAAATAAAACATCTGCATACCTTACTCTTAAAGCCGTTTTGTTAAAAGTTGTGCGTACCAGACCTGATCAGATTGCTTCGTAAAACAAATAAAGCTGTCTTGGCTGTAGTGTAGGCATTTACAAAAACAGTATTTTCCTTCCGTGCAAGTTGTGTTACCAACCTTACTAAAGGGATTTTCCTGTTTATGGAAAGTGTTGACCTCTATTCTGAACACTCTCTTATCTCTAAGCACAACTCTTTCTCTCTCTCCCCACTCTTACACAACACACAATCAACACAAGTTACCGCTGGCCTTGTCTACATTGATTTGACTGGGTTTGTTTTTGTTTGACGTCCTTTTAATAGATATGGTCATTTGAAGCAGAGCAAGAAGGTTTTGATGGTGGAGAAAAACCGGAGCATTTGGAGACAATCCACCGACCCACAACCAGTCCCTAACGACTGCAAAACGTGGGCTTCAACCAGTGGTGGAGAGCTAGCGATCGTAGACGGGGTGGAGCCACTCGGCTATCGCGGCCTTGTCCTTATATTCTAATAGTGTTCTCTTTAGCACTCTACATGGTTCTACACGATGGGTCCTGTATAGTTTATAATACATTACATAAACAGTGTGCGTGTATTATAAGTATGGTCCTACCGCTGGCCCTGGTGGCCCTGGTGGTCCTTGGATACCCTGCTTCCCCGGAACTCCATCGTCCCCCTGTCAGTAAATTACAAACATATATTATAGTAATATGTAACAAGGAAAAAATATCAAAAATCCGGAACCAAACAATAAATAATGTTGAGTAATATTAACGATCGTATTAAAGCAATAAATTCATCGACATTGTTTTCGAAACGTTAGGTAGTACTCAGGTTTCTTTTGATAACATCTAGATAGTATCGTTCTTACATTAAAACCTCGAGGTCCTTGCTCACCGTCTTCGCCCTGTAGTCCTCTTTCACCCTGAAACACACGCAAAGTTCTGACGTAAAATATGTAACATTATAACGTTTACACTCTTCGCTTTCCTGCATCAAATTATTTCATGATCCATTCACCTTTGAAGAATTAACTTAATTGGGATCAATTTCCATGAGATCTTATCTATCGAAATATTTTGAGTATCAAATATGACATAGCAAAACTATACATATCTATGATAAAAATATATTTAAACACAGCTGTTTCACATTTGGTGTAAAATAAATTCATTCACGGTAGATGAAATATCTATTAAATTTAAAGAGTTTTTAAAATACATATACGTCAGGATCGTTTAAGATACCATCTCTAAACTGAGAAAGTCGTTTTGTAAGAGGATACATTAATCATACCAATTTACATCATACGGCAAATTAGAATTACCGTAATACGAACAACAGTTCACATTTAGGATATTAATAGCGACAAATATGCTTTAAATGGACAATTTATGGACATCATTTCATCCATCTATCTGTCACTGCCCAGTATCGCCTCTAGTTGACAGAATATATCATACTGTGCAATGGTTCTACATTGTCTTAACTCGAGACAGAGACCCATTGATATTTATGTCGCCCTTAATTCACTCAGCAATACATCAATTTGTTTTGTCGTTTGAAACGTTTCAATAAGAACAGGATAAGTCAAATCCATTTCTATTCAAACGTCGATAATTTAAGACCGTCAAATAGTTATCGTACACCGAACCCGCTGTATTGAGTATCCCGCCCATTATCAGATTTAGATATGTTCATTAAAACAATGGCAAACATGTGATGAGGTTCGACAGGGCATGAAGTCTATGTAGTTAGAAAAACAGGTCAAACAGATAATCACTGTGATCTGTCAGCATTTCAGTTACACTTTATACAAAAACATTCCTTTAATTATTGTTTTACGGAAACAATAAATCTGCCATGTGTCTATAAAAGACTAAGGGTCGCGTTGCAACATTATGGCGTGTTTTTGACAGGTGCTATAAACATTTGTCAAACGTAATATTGGGTAGTTAACGGTTAATATATCGTACCATACAGTGAGGTCAATTTGAAACGAGTAACTGTCAATTTAAGTCTTCATAAACAAAAGGTATATATTATAGCATGGTTTGAGCTGGTTATATAGACCGATATCATTGAATGTAGCACCTAACTTCAAACTTGTTCACATCGTATCCTTCTGAAAAGGTATATTTCGATATTCTGTGATACAGAATTTAGATTTAATAACATGCTATACCGTCACGCTAAGGATAACCACAATCAAAATATAGCTTGTAACTCTTTTTTCATTGGATACAGACTAGCAATATCTTACAGTTTGAAATCATATCAATCGGGTCCAGTTGGAAATAAGAGAATAACATATATACATTTCGTTCTAAAACATGTGTAAGTTATATAAATTGAAATCATTGTGACAGAATGTTTCTAGCTGGTGGACACCATAAAGTTGAGGGTAATGACGTCACTTCTGTTCACCTTTAAGCGATCGTTGGTCGCAGATGATCGTTACGATAGTATCAAAATATATTTGTAGACGTGAACGGGGAATTATTGTATTAATCTTTTCAAACGAATCAATCGCTGATGCATTCTTAAATTTCCATTTTCGAATAAGCGTAATTACATTCACAAACTACATGTGTATATGGTCATATCGAATGTCGTTATCCCTCCAAGAAGGTTTATAAGACAGAAGCAGACAGGGGTAGCGATATATACAACAATTATCATGTGTTAGAGCCGTGTGTTGACAGTAATGACCAGTTATCACGATACTCACTGATTTAGTGCGAACGGTTAAAAGACAGAGTACAAGAATCGGTACCTAAGGTTACAGTTATATAAATAACAATAGCTTACCGACTTAAGAACAAAATAATCATTGATTATTTTATGAATAATAAAGTTCCATTTTGAATGCATTAACATCATTTTAGTCCCAGTGATCACTGCCATTTAAATATACTTGTGATGACATGATCTTTTTCCTATAGGGTTGAAAACATTTTATTTTTAACCTTCAATGCGTGAAGTCTCTCGATTAAGTACAGAGTCGGGTTACACGAAGCTGAATAATGTTAATTGAACATTAAGGTTACACTTTTGAAATGAAAAACGATTTAGTGAACCATTAAGCTTATAAAGTCAATGGCGGATCTATTGATCAATCTTTTATCATATTTCCTGGTGATAAAATTGAGGTGGGATAAATCTTTTAAAAGTTATCTTAGGTCACCACCGAAAACAACGGGTACGACATAGAGAAAGGGGAGGATATATATCCTAAGTGTTACAATATGGGCATAAGATCATTTCTGGTTTCTTCGCTGTCTCTTCTAGCAGAAGAAATAGACGAAAACTCCCTATTCTGCAGGAGACCTAACATTAGTCGCCTCATACGAAATGCTGTGGGATCCAGATGGGATACTACCTATCATCATGTCATATCTATTCTACCCGGTCGAGAAAGAACAGATCTAAAGTCATGTTACACACTTTTGAGAACAATAACATTCCAAATCCTGTCTCGTAAAATTCGAAACATTGGCGATAACCTATTGATATCAATAAAGCTATTACGACAAAACTGTAACTGAAGAATACTGAAGACAAAACAAATCGCTATTTCAAAACAGTAACGATCATGATTTTTATAAGGAGCCGAAATTTACGAGACAGGTTCTGTCCACTTTCAACCCATAGCGGGGCACTTAACACCTCGGAGGTACAACCATGTAGCAATTATGCCAGACTGCTATAGAATTCGGCCAAGTGACACCCATCAACCAGCTTATCTAGTACAAGGTAAAACAATGCTGTAATACATCCTTAATGAATATTGGTACGAATGTTTAAAGTCGTTAATGAATTGTATTACCTATCTGTACAATGTTGTTTTAAAACGGTTTGTGATCAAAGGCCCAAAATGGGACCTAATGATTTTGTTAGTATATTAGATAACAGGGTCCCGACATAAACATCTACAGTAAAGCTGTAACGATACATATATACACGATAGCTGAGGTCAGCACTTTAACGAAGGGTTGTTCGTCAGGACTGGTCTTGAGATACACTCTACAAAAAATGTATACCTATGAGGAAAAAAACCCCGCTAAGACCCATATTATTATTCTCAATTTCAAACACTAGAAAACAGTGCAGATCGTCGTTTTCACCGTTTTTTGTCGATCCCCCTGTTCTTTTTATATTATATTTATTTATTCATTGTTTACATATTTGTTTTGATATTCTATGTATTTCTGTTCTTCCTACCCCCTTAATAATATTTTTGTTGTATTATACTGGTAGGCTAATAATAATGAGTCAATGAAGTATTGGATCTTAAACATGAAAACATTGCATTTCAACAAATGTCAATTTGATGTTATTTTGGGCGTCAAACTGGTTATAGTTATTTGGAGTTTGAACAATAAATCTATGCACAATTCCAGCTAAACCATAGCTATAACCTAAATTATGTTGAGGTGTCATTACCGGGTATCTAATCTTTATAACGCATTGTGTTATTTAAGTACTCTGTTGATTCATGACTTTTACAATGTTGGAATAGGCGGCAAGCAGTAAATGTAAAGTGCAACAGATAAAATATCTATTTATTACCTTCTTTTTTTCTAAATTCTTTGCATATTTCCATCCGAAAAGGCAAATCATGTAGTAACTTTTGAACTCATTTTCGAAAAACTTAGACATTTATTCAAAAGAATGAGAGAGGTATGTTATTTGGCAAACATGACTTCTTACACGTATTATTAAAAGAAAATTGCAATTCTGTCTTACCGTGTTATTAATCGAGTAAGACACAGATATTTTTTGTAATATTTCGTAATAAAACAGTTATATTTGAACTGACTATTAATACCCGCTGAGACGGATATTAACCTGTTGCTGTATTACATTAAAATGCTGTTAAAGACGTGATTTTAATAAACTTTATGCAAAAAACATTCTCATCTACAAGCGTGTGCCAGACACCAGCATGGATATAGTCATATCGGAATTGACATCACATGAATTCCATTTGAAGTGATCAACATGTCTAGGATATACATTATAACGTGCCAAGAGAGCAAACTTGTTTAAACAAAACGGTTTTTTCTGTAATTGATACTTTGATGAAAGTTACAATTGTATTTTATTTTGTTGAATATATATTAATCGCTAGGAGATACCTGCATTTTTAGCTTAGAGATTTCAGTTTGATTAATTTAAGTCAATAGTGATATTGGCATGTACATAATAAAAGTCCTTTTTAATTAGAAGCCTGTTTCTTTTTCTTCTGGAGTCGTAACCATGCTTACACTAATTATCCGACTAATAATATAATGACTTAATTTCTTCTACATACAGTAGTTAATATTTACACAAAACACTATGAGACCGCAAAAACGTGTTTGCAATAGATACACTTTTAGTTCGCGAATTCAATTAAGGATTCCTGTATCACTGCCAAAACCTGAAACTATGCCTTCGAAACTTATTTAACTTATGCTTTGAAAGATCATTTCTGTAATGAAAAGTATACCTTGCGGGACTTCTGTGAAGGAAAATAGATATTAAATAAACAAAAACTAATAAAACGTAGTGCTGCATTGCAAGAAAAGGATTCGAACAGTGGACCTAATGTACGAAAAACAACAGTGCATTGGAACAGGGATCATACATTTGAATAGAAAGGTAAACAATGTAAGGATGTTGTCTTGTTGTCAAGTTATTGATATAAACACTTAGTTTAGAAAGGTTACGTATTGTGTAAGCGCCATTGTGCTATCATGAAAGAACAATTTAATGCATGTTCACTTTGGATTTAACCCGTGTCCTTATATTGATATCCGATATAAACAAGTTGCCATGGGACTCTTAAACTAACCTGAATTCCCCTATCTCCTTTTTCGCCTCTCTGACCGGCCACACCCTAAAACAGACAATATTACATTCAGGTTAATTGTCCAGTAATCGAAAATTAAATTAGTAATCGTAGCTGTCTAGTTAATAAAAATAAATGAGGGTGGAATGAATGACATGTTGTATATGACGATATATAAAGTGTAGATATGTTCACAACAAGACATAAATTTAATTAGTTACGGCATTTAGAAAACTCTTTACTCAAATCAATATGAAATATCTAAATTCTATAAATATGAAATTCTCATATTCAGGATATCAAACATTGCTTTCAGAAAGCAGAAACCTTTAAAATAAGGCAATTCACATTTTGTTATTGTCAATTCAAATAAAGCAACTTATATATTTCTTGAGAATGACTTAGAATACATATAACATGTCACGGGAATGTAAGTTCCTACCTGTTGACCCTGGTGTCCTTGAGCCCCTTCGGGACCTTCCGGACCCACTGGACCGACAATCTGGGAAAACAAATATCAAAATCAATACAGGAATTTTAAAACCGTGGAGTCATCATTTTGTGCAGTCTAGTATGCCTACATATATAAATGTTATTGTGATACAACTTGTAACTGGTCTGAACCCACCTTTAATTTATTGTGTTTTACATGTAGTCTATCCCGAAATACAAATGCAACCACACCTACTAAATAGCACTAAGACAAACATTTGGTCCTCATCATTCAAAAATACAAATATTCTAATCAAATGGAACACATATAATAGACCTGATAAATTTGATCAACAGTTGTGTAACAATCACTAGAATTACGAAGTTGAAAAGATTATTATGATTTCAAACATTTAATGGTATTTTTTAACTTACGCTTTCTCCTGATCTACCGGTTTTGCCTGGTATACCAGGGGTCCCTGGCTGTCCATCTCGACCCTATTTTAGAAAAGGAATAAAAATGACTATACTTTCAGGAAACGATGTGACATTGCCCTATTGATTAAAATGCTACAACGAAAACTTTTGAAATTGCTTAAAATTAAATGAAGAAATACATGTGTGATGAGTGTAAGAGCGTGGAAACCTATATTAAATTCTTGTTTACATTTTCGAGCTTATATTCAAATAAATGCAGAACTTCTACATACCCGTTCACCCCGTTCTCCAGTAGGACCAATATCACCAGGTCTACCGTCAGTGCCCTACAATTGAATATGGTATGTATCAGATGTTTTAAATTTGGTTTTTTTCCTAGTATCGTATATAACGATGTCCTTGGTAATTTTCTAACCATTTTTAAAAGATAATACAAATCTTTTTTTTTAATTTTTTTTTATTTATTTTTTTATATACAAATATATAATATCAAAATAGATAATCTTTTTCATGATTTAGAATATCTTTAATTTGTACATCGATTGTCGTCTTTGGGTCACAAACCATGACCTGGCTATACTATCGAAAGATGATGTAATGTTTTGATGAGTTAAGGAAACACTCCATAACGCTACTAATGATAATTTTGCCTTTTCACTCACATCCATGCCAGGTACCCCAGGTTCACCCTGAACACCCTCATCTCCCTGTGATCCTTCGGTACCTCTCGGACCCTGAGGTCCAGTTTTACCAGCAGTCCCAGCCTTTCCCTGTTGAACATATTTGATCTAGTAAAACTAATTTAGATACATTGTGTAATGTGTTGAAACGTTATTAATCAATGTGGAGATACTATTCTCTCGTCGTTGCAATGTCAATGTCATCTCTTTTGAATTTTTTAAAACACATCATTTTCAAAAGAACGTTCGTCTGAAAATGCCAATGGATCACTGCTTAGGAAACATTCACATTTTAATTTTCTTCCTGCTTAATAAATATTTAACACACTGACCGGTTTTCCATCCCGACCGGCCGGGCCCCTCTCCCCGGCATCTCCTTTGGGCCCCATTAAGCCGTCGATGCCATCCAGACCGTCACGTCCATTTCGGCCGGGCGCTCCCTATGATATAAGGAAGGATATAACATAGTATGGAACTAACGCGTATCATGGATTTTTGATCATATGCTCATCGTCGAATTCTGTGAATATACTTAAGTTCAGAGTAATATATGTCTAACTAAAAAAATATAAGTATGCTATATGCTAGCGATAAAACAATTCAAATTAATCAGTTGATTTCAATCACAATGTTAAATGCAGATCACAGTTTGATTCATATAGAACGAAAACATTTTAAAATGTTCAACACATTTCATCAGTTTTGAAATACGTAATATGAAAGTTTTACTTTATACACACCGAATGTATTAAATATTTCGTCTCATTGTTGTACATTTAACAACACAAATCGCTCACTCAGTCATAGCTTGAGATAGGGATCAGTCAGTCCTCAAACGTTGCGACATGTTAAATACGTACATTTGTTTGTGTATAAAGTTAAATCTTTGATATAACATCTTAAAATATATTCTGCTGATTGCTTCATTCCAATGTTTTTCATTTCTCACATTCTTGTACTCGCGTGTAAGATAGGTGTGACTGTATAAATAATCATGTGGGAAGCTAGTAGAAATGCGTAGCCTTGCATGGACATTGTCACTACCCCATTACTACTACGGAAACGATGCCATGGCATTACAGCAATAAACAACGTCACAAAACCGAATGGTAATCAGCATGAAAAGCAATAGTTGTACTCACTGGCACTTTATTCTGAATAGTAACAAGGTAATGTTTCCAACACATTTAGAAAACTCTTCGAGTGAAGAGTTTGTTATGTTCACTGTCAAATTAAAATTTAAAAAAAAAGAGATATGTTTGGATTTTTTTTTCAAAACTTTATTTTTTTTTTCATTTCAATGAACCGTCCTTAATACGTGACTGTTTGACATATTATGTAAAATGAAAATGATAACTTCTAAAATTGAGGAATATGACAATTTTCAAGTACCTTTATGACAGATGTTTCAATGTTGATGTATTAAGATAAATATGCTTACATTTGTTCCATTGAGTCCACGTGGTCCTGCTGGACACTGAACTGTACAGCCCATGTCTCCTCTTCTCTGAATAGACAGCATATAGATTTATCCACACGCACGCATAGTGAATGCTCATTTCAAAAAGCATAAGATTATATTTATTATCAAAGATCATCCTTTACAGAAACAGAGAACTAGTTGCATGCATTCAAAACGTTGTTATTGCTTTCTAAATAAAACACGTGTTAACCAGAACCAGGAACTACGTCATAATGATTTAACAATAATACATTGCATTAATATTATAGCTAAAGTATGTGTACCTTTCTTATGAATACACAATGCATTATCAAATCGAATTGCTACGTGAACGATTTATTTCTGGACCTCAGTTCAACATAAACTTTCATTAGTATATTATGAATGCATACTATAAGATTTAATAAGGTTTGGTTTTAATGTACATATATGATCGAACATAATGGTAATCCTGAAAATGTATAAATGTATTCAAATAAATATACGTAGGTACTACTGTATAGAGGGGTTATATTTTTATGACGCAAATGAACGCAGAATTATAATTAATACCACAAGTTTGTTTTCCTGTGGATAAAAGGTAAGTTCTATAGGTTATTAACTGGGCTATGCGAATTTTACACTCAGCAAATAATTTCACGTTAAACTCCCTGTTAACTTGCCATAAAAGCGCTACTGAGCATTTAAACATTGATAATCCAGATGCAAATTACCTGAAAAGAAACCACTCTACAAATATTAATACCATTTAAAAATCAAGGACACTTTTAACAACTTATTGAAAAATCAAACTATTGCGACTTTTGCGTTTTTATTGAAAACGTTTGTGTAGCGGTTAGGATACCCATGTCTGTAATTGGTAATCAAACGTGCTTCCTGAACATCTTACACAACTTACAACGACGATGCGAAATTTTGTTCGGTAACGAGAGGCTAAATAGGTTAAAAGGCAGACACCCTGGTATCCACATTTCAGTAGAATAAAAGCCTAGTTAGCTTAAGAAATCAAAACCTCAAATACTCCTCATGGTATGCTCTATAAAACGATGGAATTTATAGAATATTATGTAAATTATAACGGGAAATGCGGAATGCAGATCTAGCAGACAGAGGAAATACATTTGAACCTTTATATTTATTTAGATATCAGTTCTTTTTATTTCAAAAGACGATCTCTTAAGCTAACAAGGCGTTGAGGAAAACTGAGATCAGAGTGAAAAGATATAAACAGATACATATGTAGAGAAGTAAATAACCGGTTTTTATGTTACATTTGTACTTGGGTGGGTGTTATGCACTTACACCTCGTTACGTAAACCTCCTCGTATATACAGCTGTATCGTATTATAATCTGTAAAACGTCCCAGTCTTTATTAGACACATACTCCTACAGGTTACATGACCGCTTAAGTTATATGTTAATTGTTATTATAATAAACTTAAATATATTTAACAAAAGATTATTGCTTATTGATAACATTTCCTTTGAAAGAGCAACCCTTATAGATACTTGAAATAAATACGACTTTGTTGTCATGCATAATAAATATTTTCGATATATTTTAAGCATTTGTTTATCTGTAACATAGTTTCATACATCAACCGAATGATAACAGAAAGTACAGTGTTTGGTACTGCCGCTGAAGAACTTCATTAGCGTTGAATGACACAGAATATAACTGATTCAGGCATATAAATGATGATTTTATTTCTCATTTCAACATGTCTTTATCAGAAAGCGAGATAAATAGTTATTTCAAATGTTTCGCATACTACAGCTCTAACTCAGGATTTTGTTTAGGTTGATGTTGACATTCCCGATTCCTACATATATAGCGTCACGTGAGTTATAATTAAATATTTTTTACCATTCTATTATTATATACCAACATTATTGTGGCAATTGGTCGCTGTTCACTGACGCTAACGAAGTTCCGAGCGATACCAAAGTCTGATATTAACATTCTTCTTTACCAATGTGCATTAGACTGTGCAGTGTATAACTATGGTGCGAGGTACAAACTCACTACTTGTTGACGCATCTTAGTCACATTTTTAATCTGTTCAAATGCAAAGGAAACCACGAAGGGACAGTGAAAGAAACAGTTCATAATTAACTGATACATATTTGATAAATACGAGTTCTTAAAAAACCATTTTAGGAATAGTAGGTTAAATGCAGGCAATCTAGCGTTATTTTCATATCACGTCACGCATGCGCACAAGCAACCGGAACTGTACCTGCTCGCTCATGTAGTTTCTTGACTCGCTCTAGAGAAGAAAGTGACATCACATTTTATCACCAACACCCCTCATGCACTTACTCCATGCAAATTATCCAATGAAGAATGGCACAGGCCATCCGTAGCCGAACATAGGCTGTTTTAAAAGAACTGATTTGAAATATTATGTAAATGAAATGATAATTAGTTGTAAACAATCACCATTGAAGCAAATTTAACGAAACAAAACTAAAAAATACACCCATTAATAGGTGAAGGTATCAAATGACTGTAAGAAAAATACAACAACGGGAATGTATATCATAAAAACAAATCATTATAAAAATCAACAGTTTCGGTAAAAGCAAGTTCACATAAAGCATATAGATATCGGTGAACGAAATAGCTGCTGAATGCAAGCTTTATACATGTATATGATTATGACGGGAATACTCGATCACGATGTAATTGATAAAAGAGGTATACTGGAAGTTTTGATTGATTTCATTATCAGCAATTTGTTACGTGATAAACATACCGGAAGTTCGTCACAATTTTCACGTTGGTGCTTTGACGGATCACAATGAATGACCAACCACTGGAGTTCAAACTGGAACAGAAGAAAGTATAAGGAAATAGCAATACATGATAAGCGATATTGTGTATGTATAACACGCAGACAGACAGTTAATATTCCTGTCGTCATAGAAATGAGTTTGGCAAGACTACTTCGTGATAACATAACATCTTTTTCTATTTCAGGAAATTTCTGCTCAAATATATTAATGCATTTTTTTTTTTTTAAATATTTCTAATCTTCTTTGTTTCAGCTTGACGCTGCAATTTGTTTTTGACGTGTACCACCGGGTATAATGTCCTTGTATCATTGCTTAGTGTATCTGTGTTCATTATCTAAACGTGTTTACTACCAATATGTGCATCTCTTGGCTAAAACATTCGTTTGATTAAAGATCTCATTCAGGCCTCAAACCCGGCAATTAATGACTATGCCGTTTGCTATCCTCGGCCCTGTTTGGTAACGTACCGGAACTGTCCTTCCGTTGATCTCGTTGACCGGCTGGGCCAGTACAATGTCGCCGTTAATATCAACCTGTGACCTCGCCACCATTGAAAGTGTTTGGACGTCCTGACAATCTAAAAACAGCGTGGTGAGCGTTCGGGTCACCTTGATGTGGATTTTATGCCACTCGTTGTTAAATGCCTGAGAACATAAATAATGTACTGATCAGAACACACAGGCAAAATTATTTTCAAACGCTGTATCATACTTTGGAAAAAATAATCATATAAATGAAGCAGAAATGATTGAATGTTTTTTTTGCCGATGTCATCAGGGATTAATTAGAGTTGGTCTACAGACATATTTTATAACTACGAAACAGGTTGTTTCAAGGCAAAGGTAATTAATATAATATAAACATAAGTTAATTGGTTTTTATTTGTCAACATTGCTTATTTCAATAAATATCCCAAAGCAAATTTTTTAGTCGAGGTGGCTTAATACTGTCTGAACTTGGTGAAATAAGACCTATATTCATATACTCGCCATAATCTTGTCAATTTCATGGATAAATTACATCGTTTAAAAGGTTTCCTTTGGTGCAATACCGTAACTATGATTTACACTATTGAAATGTCTTTGTGATCAATTTTTTTGCTGATTAGGTAACTGATAACTGATAAAGAACTCTATATAAGAAAACTAATGAATGACAGCAATCGCTGTTTAGATCAATGGGAACATTTCATGGGAGACCTGACAATGATTTGGCCAGGTAACCTGTATACCTTTCGAACCCGTCGGTTGTCAAACGATAATATTCTTTGGGTGCTGCGAGCATCTTTGAAAACAAGCTCAATGCTTTTAGCCGGGGCATCGAACCTAATGGCAAATTCTGACTGCCCTTGTGCGTTCTGGAAGTCTATCATGTTCCACACCATCCGTCTGGCTAGTCCCTGTAACCTATAGGTGGCTCCGAAGGAAAACTCCTCCGGCATTCCGAGTGGAAACATTGTTCTGTAAACCACATTATAAAGCTTCATTATGTATGTATTATAGCACACATACATGTATCAAATACATTTGATAATCATTTAATAAACCTTAATTTGTTTTGAATCCGAAATCACATGGAAAATCATATTTTTATTCTTTGGATGAATGTATGAAGCTTATGATATCACCTTTCATAATTATTGATATTCAATAATGAAAATAGGACAAACTATTTCGGTGAGAAGCTACCTTATAATATTGCAATGTTTCAATGCGCAAAACAAAAAATATGTCAAAGATGTAAAAATTACGAAAAACGAGATAAACTTAGATATTTGAGATATCGTTTTAAAAAGGAATTAAACATTCATTTTGAAACATACATCAGGGTTGTTTGATATAAGGTAATGGGTAAAAGCGTTTATTTCGACATAAATAGGAGTATAAGATATAACACAATATTTTTTCTGGGGGCGGGGGGCGAAATAACGAGGTTGTACTGTAAAAGGAAAACGAGTTTTACCTTGTTGCTACCGATAACTGTTTCTTTTTTGCATTTCGTTTTAGTTTGTATGCTTGCTGATATGTGTTAGATCCACGCGTGAGAGTTACTCCTTTTATTTTTAGAGCCCGTGCCTTATCTAACCGGAAGTTAGATATAAAATCAAATGCTGAAAAAGAAGAAACAATAAAAATAATGCATACTTGCGTGAAACATACAAGGAATTATCCTTTTATTAATTGATAGTTTAAAATACAATGAAATACATATAGTAGCAATTTTTTTAGCATGAATATAAGTGAATTTAAACTAATCCAAGTTATCATTGCATCAGTTATAATCTCGGAGAAGAGTTTAAATTTCCAAGAGTTTGTCGACTTAGAGTTTCTTCCTCCTTTATAGAAAATGAAGCAGACAGAAAAAAGGTATATGCTTCGATTTACTTCTCTGGTCATGGTAATCACTTTTCATTTTGATGCAACGCATCTATATTTCCTTGACAGCAAAATCTTGTTAAAGTGTCGAACAGACAGTAGATACTGGCCTCGAGTTTGATTTTTTCTGCTTTCATTATTTATATTTCCTTAAAAGTATTTAGAATATGAAACGTATATAGAATGTCAATGCATACTACTGGATGAGGTAATTTAAGGAAATATACGGTTATAAGTTTAATAGTAAAAGGTGTTGATATTCTGTACATTAGCACACAGATTGCTTTTTATACACAAGACAGAAAGAGTTTGGGAAGCAAACCTGTGTGCACAATAAAGCTGTTGTTGTATATCTTCTGACAATGGATGAGTTGATAACCGAAATGTCGAGTGTTTTCATCAACAACATAACAAACGAGAGATACCCGTTGTTATATATAGAATCACTACTATTGTCTGCCCAGCGACAGAAACACAATCCGTTTTGTTTTCTAATAATATTTCACCTTTTCGTTTACACTATGATGGCGTAAGGGGATACGTCACTGGCACGGTGCCCATATGAGGGCTCTACATGATTGACACGAAAGGTTTATAGGGTTGTAAGGTTAAACACATAACACTGATAGAACCCTACATCAAAGTTATATAATAGTTTTTTTCAACATTTGTGAGCTTCTTACGCAATATACATTAAAATTAAGGCTTCAAAACGCGAAATTATTTCATTAATAAAAATATTTTAACTGAGCTAGCCTTTTTATCGTAAAAATATGGTTTTGCAATAAAGGACATCAAAATCAATCACTAAACATGAAACATTTATGGTAAATTAAACTAACATAAGGTTTTTTAAGCTTTTTAAAATATATGAGCACCATATACCAAGACAAGATCAAATCTGAAATTCGAAATAAAAAACCAGAACATGAATAGAAAATCCTTCAAAATATAAGAGAATGCAGCATATACAATTGTATAACGTATTTAAACACAAACACATGTAATAATTGAGATAAAATGCTTTTATGCCATGAGCAGACTCGTTCAAAATTGAGTGTGTGATTTAAGTGCGGGGTTCAGTCAATTTTCTCAATTGTTAATGTTTGGTGTATTCTAATCATCATAGACATTTGACAATAAATAAAAATAATGAATATATTATTTTATATTCCTTTTATAGCACAATAACATTCAAATTTTATTGCTTTTCAGGGCACTATTTCAAACTACAATTAAACCTAAACTCCATTTTTATTAAGGTATGTGTTTAATGTAAAAAAAAAATAGATATTGTTTAAGAAAAGTTAAAATTCCATAAACAAAATGATTGTCACATCTGAAGCTATTAAGGGAAAGTTATCCCGTTTTCGTTTCCTTATACCTTCCATCCCCAGGTGGTTCCCCTTTTATATGTCATGTGTTGTATTTCAAGGCACTGGAGATGAATGCTGTCTTTGAAGTGGTACTATATCATTTCTCCTTGTAACACAACACATCTACCAATGTACGGCCCCTTTCAAGTTCTGCATTAAATCTCTACGACCAGGAAGGTCCCGTGCCTCACTAGTATTGGATTCCAGCATCATGCTGGCATTGTAGCGGGTTCGTAACATAGATCGCTGTGTCGTAACGGTAATTCTCCGACAAAACGCTTTTTTATGTAACAAGGGCACACTTTATATCTTTCTTTAACAAGTACTTTGAAAAGACTTTTTTAGGGAATTTTTAAATGACTCGGTATTCCCTACACACAAATGTATATATCACGGTTATATATTCTTAGTGACGTCTTCAGGACCAGGACAAGTGCAACGTAATATGTTCATAGGAACTAATTAGAAATGCCCTAAAAATAAATAAAGGAATATAGAAAGACATATGATACAAAGAAAAAATGTTCGCGTTAAGGGAAAACACGTCAAGATCCCTAGCTACATTCCATAACAGTAGTCAATTACCATACCATACACCATATAGCAAAACACACAAACCACATACCAAAACAAAAGTCGCATACCATAACATAAACCACATACCAAACCACAAACCACATACTATAACAGGAGTCAAATACGATAACATACACCACATACCATGACATACACCACATACCATAAGAGTAGTCACATACCATAACATACACCACATACTATGACATACACCACATACCATAACATACACCACATACCATAAGAGTAGCCACATACCATAACAGTAGTCACATATCATAACAGTAGTCACATACCATAACAGTAGTCACATACCATAACATAAACCACATACCAAACCACAAACCACAAACCATAACAGTAGTCACATACCATAACAGTAGTCACATACCATAACAGTAGTCACATACAATAACATACATCACATACCATGACATACACCACATACCATAACATACACCACATACCATAAGAGTAGCCACATACCATAACAGTAGTCACATATCATAACAGTAGTCACATACCATAACAGTAGTCACATACCATAACATAAACTACATACCAAACCACAAACCACAAACCATAACAGTAGGCACATACCATAACAGTAGTCACATACCATAACAGTAGTCACATACCATAACATAAACCACATACCAAACCACAAACCACAAACCATAACAGTAGTCACATACCATAACAGTAGTCACATACCATAACAGTAGTCACATACAATAACATACATCACATACCATGACATACACCACATACCATAACATACACCACATACCATAAGAGTAGTCACATACCATAACAGTAGTCACATACCATAACAGTAGTCACATACCATAACAGTAGTCACATACCATAACATAAACTACATACCAAACCACAAACCACAAACCATAACAGTAGGCACATACCATAACAGTAGTCACATTCCATAACCGCAGTCAAATACCATTACAGTAGTCACATACCATTACATTAGCAACATACCATAGCACAAACCACATACCATAACTGTAGGTACATACCATAACAGTAGTCACATTCCATAACCGCAGTCAAATACCATTACAGTAGTCACATACCATTACATTAGCAACATACCATAGCACAAACCACATACCATAACTGTAGGTACATACCATAACAGTAGTCACATTCCATAACCGCAGTCAAATACCATTACAGTAGTCACATACCATTACATTAGCAACATACCATAGCACAAACCACATACCATAACTGTAGGTACATACCATAACAGTAGGCAGATACCAAATCACAAACCACATACCATAACAGTAGTCACATACCATAACAGTAGTCACATACCATAACAGTAGTCACATATTATAACAGTAGTCACATATCATACCAGTAGGCACATATCATAACAGTAGGCAAATACCAAATCACAAACCACAAACCACATATTTTAACATTTGTCACATACCATAACAGTAGTCACATACCATAATAGTAGTCACATACCATAACAGTAGTCACATACAATAACAGTAGACACATATCATAACAGTAGGCACATAACAAATCACAAACCACACACCATAACAATAGTCACATACCATAACAGTAGTCATATACCATAACAGTAGTCAAATCCCATAACAGTAGTCACATACCATAACAGTAGTCACATACCATAACAGTCGTCACATACCATAACAGTAGTCACATGCCATAACATAAACCACATACCAAACCACAAACCACATATCATAACATTTGTCACAAATCATAACATAGCCACATTCCATAACAGTAGCCACATAACATAATACTAGCCAAACACCATAATACTAGCCACATAACATAATACTAACCAAACACCATAATACTACCCACATAACATAATACTAGCCAAACACCATAATACTAGCCACATAACATAACACGAGCCACATAAATTTATACAAGCTATAATCTATAGCAACAGCAACATACCATAACATTTGTCACATATAACGTAAGCCACATACCAAAACACTAGCCACATACCATAACATTAGCCAAATATATGTATCAAAACATAAGTACCGGATTAAGAACTGTAAACACAATCAACACGAAATAACAACGATATACACCGAAATAAAAGGGAAAACAACACTTATCAAAACACATTGTTGCTATTAGAATTGATAAAAAACATAGTTTTCTAAACAGATGTTAAGTCCCATGTTCGGAAATGACAACAATATAAACCGAAATAAAAGAAAGAACAACACTAACCCAGATACAGTACTGCTATTAAATGGTTAAAAAGCGTGTTCTTCTATGTAGATGCTAACTACCATGTTCGCGGTTGATGTATCTGTTATCATCCACAAGGTTAAGACGCGTTGTTTATACCTCGTCAGAGATTAAACGGATACTAATCACTCTTAGATTACCGCCATTCACGTCACACGGCCAAATCAGCCCCTTTTACACTCAATAAAACAGGCTGTGGTAAATAGTTCACTTATATTGTCACCATCTACATCCTAGTGACACATATCGTTTAGGTTATATAGGAAACTACACCTGGGTGTCGCTGGGCTTTACAGCGGATATGAGGACAGAGGATACTACCACCCAAAATTGAGGGAGTCGTTAAAACATCAACAGGCGTTATTATATGTCATTGTCCTCACTCACATACACGAAGGTGTGTTAAAAGTGTTTTCGTTTGGTAAGTCTAACCTGGGAAGAGGGAGGTAGATAAAACATACCATTGACGTTAATGACACGAATTGTTGAACATGAATTGGTCCGACACGGTCAATAATCAAGTAATTGTTTATAAAATTAATTATAGCTTCATGTTTTATTATTTTCCACTTCAGGTGAGAGCGCCTACCTTCAAAGGTTTTATAAGTCATCTTTTAAAATGGCTTTATTTTTTTTTAGATAATTAGCCGTCTACATACATCACTTTTCGACATATTCACGTATTTCATCATTCTTTTATAGATTCATGCATGCAGGTTATTTGATGTCTCTTATGTCTATCATATTCACTGAGCAGGTTAGTAAGCACTCACACTGACATGATATATCTTTGATTTTTTACGACTTTGCTTTAAGTTCAGCTTATTCAGACAGTAAAGTGATACGTTGAAAACTTTCTGAATAGCTAAATATTACTGTCACAGATTTATAAGAGCAATTTTGTCAGAATAAAATTTAACTACTGTGTGTTTGGTATATTCTACAATATGAAAAATGTTGAATACTACCTCCACAGATACCTACAGTTTTGTTAGAAACAAGTAATTTTAATTTAACACAAATAATTATTACAAAACAGGAATAAGAAACGAAAACTCCATCAATCAATAACTCTGCACTTATGAAAATCTGACAATTAGTCAATGTGGAATTTATACATAGAATTCTCTTAATTCTGCGGTTAAAAGATCACTATTACTTATTACCAACTAGTTATAATTCTTTTCATAAAACAAAACTTGTCCAGAAATCCATCATTTCAAAAAATATGCTGGGTGCATAATACATAATCTGTTACAGTGAGAAATGAATAATATCGCATATCATGATAGTGGCTTTAACAACGACAGATGGTACGGCATTACATAATATAAAACAGCGGTTATAGATAGAAGGACGGCTCAAAGGTGCAAGAGATATGCTATAAATAGGAGAGTGTGCTAGTAAAATAGAAGGTCTGTTCTGCTTGACATATATGGACCGTATATTAACAACATGTATTTTGATGTCCTTCTATTCATTAATGACTTTGAAAATAATGACGCTGACCCTGGGAGACAAGCTTGTTTGTTGATTCAACACTGTTTACCGTTGTGAAGCGGTTGAACATGAATAAACTATAATCTGCTGTCTTCAAAAAGAAAGCCATTTTCTGTGTTGTGCACATGTATAAATGCACTTTAATGATTCATCAAAACATAATTTTACAGAAGTAATTTATTCCCCTATGTTGATCAAAGTATTAACTGTAAATGTCGCTGAAGTGTTATTCCTGAATATGGTGCATCCATAACCACAATGGTGAAATATAGTGATTTAATATCCAGTTCAGATGTTGTTATAAATAACAGTAAACATCTGATCAATCAGAAATATGTATGAGTTAATAATTTGGTAACTGAGACATTCTATAAGGACATAGTTCAGTGGATGTATTTGCGGGAGTGAAATGCAGTCATATATCCAACACAGAGCCGTTATACAGTCAAACCTGCATAATTGACCACCACTGTTAACAGCTGTCTTAATAGACCATTGGTGTTATATAACATAACCTGAACAATGTATCACAAAATCACCTGCAGCAAGAGATAGGTCTCTAAATACAGGTTTGAATTTGTCCATCTTGAGTTAATAATTCGTCATGATAACTTTCATATTTAAATACGGTGTTTGAAATTCTTTCCCCAATCAGCGAAACTCTAGTTAATCGGGAGACCAATATCAAACCATCCTTGTGTCCTTAATCATGAACTGTAGCTATGACCTTGATATAGAACGTATGCCCTCGACCTTAATTGGACTCTAACGATCAATGTCAGTAATACCTGTATACCTCTGGAGGTTTGTAATTAAATTGTTTTAATAAAAAAAACATGCGTACATGACATATGTTGCCAAACTGACAGAAGGACAGGACGACTTTTTTGTAAGCCCCAAGGTAGGCTTATTGTTTTACCTAGCGTTAAACCAGATAGATGTGAATATCTCTATCTTGATAGCAACTTACCTTTAAGGTCATCATCACCAGGACGTATCGGTCCACAGATACTGTTACCACTCGGTATACGTTCTGTAATGGATAACGAGACACACTGGTATGAAAATATGTGTAATAATTGTATTATTTTATTGTTAACATTTTATATTCAGTTCAGATGGATGCAACACTCACAGGTGATTGTTCCTTTAACATATGGTAATAGACACAGTAAGCCAAAAATACGTTACACTGCATCATACAGCTTTTTTTGTCCCTCTATGTCTCATCAGTAATGGTAGGTTGGAAATCCAAAATTGTCTAAACTACTGTTAAATCAAAAGGAGATGTGCTTGAAATCCTTTAATGGAATAATTTCAAATCTAATGGAGTACTTATGAATTAGAAATATAAAGTCGGCATAACAGGGTTCCAACAGAAAGAGAGGAAAATTTTCGTGAACTTCCATTTATCGCAATGTACATATATGTGGGAGAAAACTTTATGACTAGAAGAAAGTTGGCGTTCCTCTATAAAACAAAGACTGTTAGAAAACAATATAGTCGTTAAAAACCTAATATTTTGGCAATTTACTATAAACGTATATCTTTTAGAAAAGGGGAACACGTGACATCATTAAAAATACCATAATTTAAATGACCTCGGAATGTTTTCGTCTATTTTGCAGATTTGGTACTATGGTCATATATACCCGACCAGCAAAGTGGTAACGTAATTCACTGCTTGCTGTATTGCTAAAGACCCACTTTGATATAAAGTCATATAGGTATTTTTTTAATTAGTGTGCCTTTTGGTTTCGTTCTTGACAACTTCACTTTACTTTGAAAATATATAAATGTATAAGGCAGGTATTGTCAATGATGCAGAGGAAGCTGACACTTTCGAACAACTTATCCTTGTATGTTATCAAGGGAATTCTTCAAACAGTGTTTTGTTTATATTTTGCCCTCAAGTTTAGCAGATTTGAAATACAATTATGGTTTTGTTTACGATTCGGTATTATTAATGTATTTCTCTAACATTACACAAATTTACAACTAAGACATAAATAATCCAAACTCGGTATGAACATTAACAATTACAAGAAACAACACGTAAACGCAATAAATATTCGGGAAAAAGTACAATTGTTCTCAAATATCTTCTTTTTTTCTAAACATAATGTATATATAATTGTTCGCGCGTTAAATTGTATTCAGTGTCGGGAGGCCATGTCATGTCAAAAGCTACAAACCTTAAACCTTACACCTTCCAATGAAACAGTTAATGTGGCGGAAAAAGAACCAGCCGAAAGGGCATACATTCTATTGAGATGTGAATTTAATAATACTGTTGAATTAGATATGTGTTTGTACCTCTGTACTTTATACGCTGAAGTCAGTGAAAGGAGAAGGGGCATTCGAGCCTTCCAGACTCCTCAGCACTACGTCAGTACTGGCAGAGTACAGTACGTCAGTACTGGCAGAGTACACTACGTCAGTACTGGCAGAGTACACTACGTCAGTACTGGGAGAGTACACTACGTCAGTACTGGCAGAGTACACTACGTCAGTACTGGCAGAGTATACACATTTTACTTCTTTGTACGTCATGAAAAGAGGAGAACATTTTATATATTCTAGGTAATGAAACTAGTCATACTAGTAAGTTCGTGCAAATAAGTGTATAATAACAGTATGTCAGCTAGGTATACACGTCATTTCTGTTCACCTATATTCTTAGTCATGCTTTTACTTTTCAACCTATCACTAGCGATCAGGGTGGAAAAATGTCCGTAAATACTTTACATATTTTTTTATTGATATCCTTTTTTTATTTATCTTCGCATATTATTAGAATAATTTCCAACGTTAACACCAATAGTAAATAAAAGGATACATATCAAAGTAACAATTAATTTTTATTGCACTAATGTAAGGGTTTCATGCACTGCATGTACAACAGGTATTTATATTACTCTTTTCCCCATTCAGTTACAATTCATATTACCTAATGGATTCATATTCTAACAAATACATTTAAAACCAGTATTATTCAGGACCTTTCATGGAAGTATTATATTAATAATTTAATGACACACAGTCAATGCACATCTTATTGAAAAAAACCAGTCTATAGTTACACACGTTTGCAGTCGACACAACTTATGCTAAACCGGAAATGGTTGCTTTGATGCATAACGAAATTCCAGCTTTAATCACTCGAATGGAAAGTTATATGGCAATGAGAACTGTTTAGCACTGATGAAAAACATTTTTTATATCTGCCGATCAAGTAGGCATCTAATGCTTTGATACTAAACATCGCGTCTATACCTGAAATCTGTTCACTGTGAAGTCGTGTGAAAAATTACTTGCTGTGAATTGTGTTCACTCGATAGATATAAAACCCGCATCCCATGTCATTTAATATCAACACAGATTTATCAAATTCAATTATTTATCGGCGAGACATCTATGAAATACACTTGATCATTTATAAACTCCATACATGGGGGTCTCAGCTATGTAATAAACAAGCATAAAACCCGTATATACAGCACAAGTTCGTGCATATCTGTCATATCCGAAATTAATTGTAAATTATATCAATCAGAGTTGGCGATACGGTGCGATGTATAATAAAATAATACAAAACGTTGTTACCCTTTAGAACGACACAGCCTTTGTGCAAGTGAAATAGTATCGGTAATGCTTACATTCTCCACAGATTCATTCTCTACACGTTAATCCTGATACCCTTTAACCAACATCAAAACCTACTCGCATCGTTTTCAATTTTCCATTTTTAGCCTCGTGATTAAATCTGCTGAATACCTGCAATTCAAATATCAAACTTCATCTAAATAAAATATATTAATCAATAATTTATGAATGCCCTCCTTTATAGAAACAAAGGCAAACGTTATATTCGTTTTGTTACTAATTTTAGATAAACTCTAGTTATTGCCAAACAACAAGTCTGAAAAAGACATTAAAGGTATTTAAGAGAGCTTTGACAAATTGCAATATTTACCGTCGTAAGGTTTACCCTTGAAAACATTTGTCAATCAGACAAATCGTGTTTTGCTGAATACGGCTTGTACTGATAATTTGTATTGCTGAGTATTTAATTAATTATTTACAACTTTGATACTATCAGATACTGTGTACAGTCTGTCTTTGTAATGTTATCTATGTCTGTAATACATTGGTACCAATCAACGCAGATACACGTGTAGTTCACGTTCATCAGTTCAAATAAAACCTATTAGACGTTTTGAAACGCGCAGGTGGACAATAATTATATCTTAGAAGAGACGTCACCTTGATGTTCTTTCCATGTGTTACAGTGTTTAAAGCTCTCTTTAAAAACCAATAAACAGATCAATGGCATTAAGTTTGTGTATATTATCACATTAAAATTCAGATCCCCGTGCAAGGGTATTCTATCAGTACAATGTTTATGGCATGTTATTAGTACTTTATTGTGCATATCATGAATGATGGATGAATTGACTTTTCAAGCCATCGGATGTGGTTTTATTGGATTTTGCTATGAGTGTTGCAAACATTTATATACCAAACTGATCTGTCCATCATAGAGACCTTCAGACAACAATACCGAAATTGTCTATTGGACAGTATTCAAAACAGTACGCTCTGTCTCTCAGTGACTCGTTACCAGAATCAAAGTCCCTCGATAGAGGATAAGACTAAAAACTGTAGATCCCATGTCAAATTGACTCGTTACCAGAATAGTCCATCGGATTGCACTTAAAATGTTACAACAATGGTCTTCATGATAGGACTCATAGTTGTAGGGTCCATGACTCATTGACTCGTGCCCAGGATAGTCCCTCGGATTGGATTCAAATCAACATGTCCATTATCCCAGTGGCTTGTTACCATAACAGTCACTCGGATAGGACTAACAACCGGGTCTCATGTCCAAACGACTCCTTACATCAGTACCTTAAAGTCCATTGGATAGGAATGTATCGTGCCTTAATTTATCGTTTCCATAATCGTCAATCACATGTGATCCATAGCTGTGACTCCCGTGTATCAATAACTCGCCACCATAATAGGTCTATCGTATAGAAATATGTTGCCATTTGCATTAAAAAAACACCAGAAAAACGGTATGAGTTAGGAACCTATTACAGTTATTACTTATTGTCTTGAATTTTACAAATATGAACAATATCTTTAATGAAATAGCTGAATATACACGGTGAACCATTATCAAATAATAAAAACGTCAAATAGTGATATATCAATCAACCCGTTAAGGCAAGGGACCCACGGAAAAAAACACATAAAAAGGGAGTTATTCATTGTACAAATATCAATTATATATATACACTTCAATGCCAATTACTAAACCTCCAAGAAGAAACTGTACGAGTCAATGAAATAGCGTGGAGTGAAAGGTTAGCTATGGATAGAAAGGTAAATACCGTATAACGCTTATGTCAAATGTGTAATGCATATCAAACAAAACAATCGATTACTCTATACTTGTCTATGAACAGTTAAGTAATTCAAGTCCAGAATTCGACATATCAATAATGTAATGTAATATTGCATTGGATTGCATATATCATAGCATTATCGTTAACATTAGGATACATTAGATTTGTAACGAAGTCACAAGGCCACATATGTCATGTTTGACATGTGTGGGAATAGCGTTAAAGGAGCAGATCTTGGCAGCAGTAACAACCTTCAAACACCGGAGAGGTAGCTTAGGACATGTCTTTGTGGGTAAGAAATATCTTAGCACATCTATTGAAGGCCCTAGCTTTGTAATAGGTCAGGGCTGATACATCTGGACTCATTGACTTGGATATAAATGTGTTTGAAGACTTGGAGGTTGATGTTAGAATTCACCTCGAGTGCAAATGTGAAATCATTATGCTATTTAGACTACTGTCAATTACAGCAATATTACACTTCGATACAACAATTCCGGTTTTGTTTCCAAAGTCATTTTAGATGTAATGTGTTTTACACAGCGATGAAGTCGACATAGCTTTTAACTATCAGGGGAAAATATGTCAGAGGGTTGACGTAGAACTGAAAAATACG